TGATAGTTGTATAAAAACAGTTCGATCTGACAACGCAAAAGAGTATTTCTCTTCTGATTTCACACGTTTTGTATCTGAGCATGGTATTATACATGAATCATCATGTCCGTACACCCCCCAACAGAATGACATTGCTGAACGTAAAAACCGTCATCTGTTGGATGTTGCTCGCACTATGATGATTCACTATAAGGTGCCCCAACGTTTCTGGGCTGACGCGGTCCTCACAGCAAATTATCTAATCAACCGCATGACATCCTCTGTTCTTTCTGGAAAAATACCGTTTTCTCTTCTATTTCCCAAAGGCACTCCCTTTCCTCTGCCTCCTAAGATCTTTGGTTGTGTATGTTATGTCCATGATCACCGTCCAGGACATAACAAGCTTGATCCACGTGCCATCAAGTGTGTATTTCTAGGGTAATCACGAGTCCAAAAAGGTTATCATTGTTATTGTCCAACCCTTCGTCGATATTTTACTAGTGCTGATGTTACTTTCCATGAGTCACATTCATTCTTTGATAGCACCAGTAACTCTTCCGAGTCATCATTGTATTCCCAGATCATTCTGAAGCTGTAGATCCTCCAGTCTATATCACCCCTATACAAACATCACACAACTCATCTCCCACTTTACCATTAGATACAAACACTGGATTCACAAAAGTATACACCAGATAGCGAAGAAAAGCAACACAGAACCAAGAGAACTCAACCCTGTGCCATGAAACCGGAACTTCTCCTGTTCCAGAACCTCATCCTAATCGAGAACAGCAATCTGTATCCGAACCTCTCCCTTCCGAACCTTGTGACCCACCTGGAGCACCTCTTCCTGATCTTCCAATTGCCTTACGAAAGGGTACCAGGAGTTGTACCAGATATCCTATTCAAAATTACCTTTCCTACTCTCATCTTTCACCTGAAGCATATGCTTACAAAACAGCCATTGATAATCACCCTGTTCCCAGGGGCCTTGAATCATCCTGGATGGTTTAAAGCAATGCAGGAAGAGATGGATGCCCTACAAAAAAATCAGACATGGGATTTAGTTCAACTTTCTCCCGGAAAGCGCACAGTTGGTTGTAAATGGGTTTATACAGTTAAACTTCATCCTGACGGCTCACTGCATCGATTGAAAGTCCGATTAGTCGCCAAGGGTTACTCTCAAACATATGGGATTGACTATGACGAAACTTTTTCCCCAGTAGCCAAGATGTCAGCCAAGATGTCATCTGTTCATATTTGTATTGCTCTAGCTGCAATCAATCATTGACCGCTTTATCAGTTGGATATCAAGAATGCCTTTCTTGATGGCTTTCTTGAGGAGGAGGTATATATGGAGCAGCCCCGTGGATTTATAGCTAAGGAGGAGGCATCTAAAGTATGTCGACTGAGACGTTCTTTATACGGACTCAAACAATCTCCTAGAGCATGGTTTGGACGTTTTTCAGATGTCCTTCAACCGTTTGGCATGACCAGAAGCTCTCAGGATCATTATGTGTTCTTTAGACATTATATGGGTCAACGACTCATTCTTGTAGTTTATGTGGATGATATTATCATCACTGGAAACGATAGCAGGGGAATTTCAGAATTGAAAGAGTTTCTACAATCACAGTTTCAGGTCACAGACTTGGGACGTCTTCGTTACTTTCTTGGGATAGAAGTCTCCCAGTCTCCACGGGGAATTCTTTTATCTCAACGGAAGTATGTCCTTGATATGTTGACTGAATGTGGCTTACTAGGGTGCAAACCAGTGGACAGCCCAATGCTTACAACAGGGAAACTTCTTGAAAAGGATGGAAGTCCTATGAAGGATCCAAAGCGTTACAGGAGACTAGTCGGGAAACTGAATTATCTAACAGTTACCCGACCTGACATATCATTTCCAGTAAGTGTCTTGAGCCACATGTGACATGTCATCTTTTTATTGATTGTTATATGTTTATTTTTCCTTTTTATTTTATTTTATTTCCTTTTTCCCCGTGCTTTTCTTCTTCAGGTCTCCACGGTCCACTCTAGAGGGTTGCCGACTAGAAAATTCAGAAGGTGTCCGGCAACGAGAAGAAACGATGAAGAATTTCATCCTTGTCTGATATGTCTTCAAGATCCGTCCTACTATACCCATCCTGTTTTTGTTTTCCTCTTCATCCTTCCTTGGCCGACCAACCGTTTTCTGGCCAACAGGAGAAATCAAGAAGATGGCGACGGATGAACTCTATCACATCTACGCCGCCTTGGAGTTCTGTCCAACCCTGTTATCATTGTCTCCACCATGGCTCCGGTGAAGAGAAAATTGAAGAAGGAAGGCTCTGGACAAACGGGAGAGTTGGGCATTAATCAAATTGTATAAACCTTCTCACTAGCTCAATAGCTCGGTTCCATGTGCTTGGAGCTTAATCCCTCCGCCGGCAGAGAAAGCCCCTTACCGGCTATTCATCTTTTTTTGTTTTTTATTTGTTTTTGTTTTTTATCGGTTAAGTAGGTAGATGGTACACGGAGATAATTACAGAAGACCACCATTGAACATAAGCTTATTCTAGAATTATGAATAGGTGAGATTAATATTGGAAGACCATTAATAATTGGGATTATTCATGTGAATTTTTCCTTAAAGGAAAAGCTTTTGCTCAGATTTTGTTCTAGTCCTTGTTAAAGCAAGCAAGCCTATTTACTTATCTCTGTTATCTGTAATCCTAGACCATAATGGAGACCAAATCTGAAGATGAATAAATAACATGTTACTTTTACCAGCTCGACATGTTTTTCACGATTCTTTAGGGCTCGACATGTTTTTCACGATTCTTTAGGGCTCGCTTGGTAGTTTAACATCAAAACTTTGCACGCAATATAATTAAATGTAAAGTTTAGGGAAGCAATTACTTTGTAAGTAAAATAAAAATACACTATTTGCTTAGGTGTGTAATTTGCTTTGAAATTAGTCATTGCAATACTTTATAAAAAAACATGCAAAATATTTTACCACCCCCATATAAAATACTTTATATGGTACAATGTGAAATGTCTAAAAAAGTGTACTATACAACACCATCCAAGCCTTATTCCCAAAAAGATTTGGGGCAAAAAAGGAGTCCTATAATTTACATTAAATAATTAAACCAACTGATGTAAACTTTTGCAAGCAAAGTAATTATTTAACGCCCTACCAAACACCATCTTAGAGTAAAATTAGGAAATATTGATAGTAATAATCCCAATTATTGGCGGTCCGCTCATAATAATCTCAACTTTCGATTATTTCAGAATAATCCCAACTTTAGAGACCTTCCGCCAATAATGGTCCGACGTGACTGACTATATATAAATTCCTATAGTTTCTAAATTGGATGCTAAGAGATATAGCCGGTAATCCCTATAAATAATCCCAACTTTTAATTTTTACGCTTAATTTCTATTAAAAATCATCTGTTATAGCTGGTAATATTCGGTCATGGAGCATTATTGGCGGACGTTTCATATAGTTGGGATTATACAAAAATAATCAATAGTTTGGATTATTGTTAGCAGACCAGCAATAGCTGAGATTGTTATTTTCAATTTTTCCGTAAAATTATTAAAAGTGAAAATAACTGGAGGGGAAGATGAAATAGTTGGAAGTAAAAAACTTAGGTTTACCTAAACATATTTATGCAAAATAAACTATTGCTTTAACTTTCCAACTTCCGAAGTACATCCTTATTTCACGTACGTCAAATCTTTTTATGGAACAAAAACTTGTTTTGGAAGGAGTGTGATAACCTAGCAGACGATAACACAATTAATCCTTCTTTTTCTACGTAAAAATAATCAAGCAAAAAATAAGATGGAATGAACAAGGGTATGGCATGTTACTTGGCAAAGTTAGGACTTAGGAGGGAGAGAGTATAACTCTTTTGTTGGTTTGTTTGTTAATAAAAAGAGTAACTTACCACAGCATTGAAGTTATATCTGGTAAAATCGTGCCATTTCTCCAGATCATAAGCCGTTAAATGCTTACAGCATGCTGACAACATCAATCTGCCATCACCCTCGTCTACTTCTTCCTGAGTCGTCCTACTCCCACCAAGCAAATGCCGTTCACCATTTTTAGCCACGGAGCTGTGGCCTTGTAACCCAATAACATATTCCACTGCATAATCCGAAACCACCATTGGATCTTCTCCGGGCGTCTCTTGTCCTCTGCCCCATCTCGGATCCACGAAGACGTTCACATTGGGAGCCCAGAAAGTCAGCCCGGCTTGACCCGAATTGTACATAGCCCGGGCCTCAACGGCTGTGGCGGCGGCGATGGAGCGCCACAGGGTGCGGTTGAAGCTAGAAGCTGTGAGGATGACCTGTGGGAACACGGTAGCAGATTTGACGGGGCCTTGGAAGGTTACCCCGGGGCCATTGGTGGCGAGGCCGTGGAGGGACTCGGACCACCACTCGTAGGCGGGGATCCCGAGGCGGGGGATGGCGGAGTTGTTGTTGGAGAGGCGCTGGATTTTCTCATCTAGGGTGAGGAGTGAGACGAGGGAATGGACTCTGGTGGCAACGGGGAGCGAAGTGTTGCAGAAATCGTGGAGCGGCGGGCGGCATGGCAGCTGAGGTTTAGAGTGGGAATAAGAAAGTCCAGGAAACACGAAAGTGAGGATGATGAAGAAGAAGAAGAAGAAGAGGGGTCGGAATGGAGAAAGATACGAGAAGAGGGTGGTGTTTGTGTCCGAAATATCACAGTGACGCCCATCGGCCATTAATGACCGGTGAGAAGAGCAAAGAGGTTGTAAATAATTGAATTGAAAGCTGCTTCACCCACCGTTTGTGTCGAAATTGAGCCCTTCAAAACTTCATGAGATAGGACGGACACATTACCGATATTTCTCAGTTAAGAGCATTATCATTTTCTTTTCAAAATGAAAAGAAATGTAAAAAGGGTAAGCTTTTAAATGTAAAAAGTAAGCACCAAACTTATACTCCATCTGTTCTCTAATACATGTCTTTCTTTTCATTTTGGGATGTTCTCAGCGTCATATTGTTTTAATTGTCGCATCCAGTGGTATTGCTTCTCTACTCTTACCTGGCGGTAGAACTGCACACTCTAAATTTTCAATCCCAGTTCCTACTCTAGAGAACTCTACATGCAATATACATCAAGGGAGTGAACTTGCAGAGCTTTTAAAACAGACTAAGTTGATAATTTGGGATGAAGCAACAATGGCTAATAGATTTTGTTTTGAAGCACTAGACAGAAGCCTAAATGACATCATCAACAATGATGATGATTCTATTTCACCATTCGGAGGAAGAGTGGTTGTCTTTGGAGGAGACTTCAGACAAACTTTACCAGTTATTCCTGGAGGAAGCCGTTCAGACATTGTTAATGCTACAATCAATTCTTCATATCTATGGGATGACTGTCAGGTAATAACTCCATTTTAGTACCACAACCAATATGTTTACTGTTACTATAATTTACAAATTCATTTTACCACAATATACCAAAATAACTAACCTAAAAAACTTTAAAAAAATTGTTCATTCGTTCACTTTTACTTTAAATAAAGTACAAGTAATTATATTAATTGTTTAACTATTTCAAATAATCAGTTTGTAAGTTTTTTTAGTAATTACTTTATAAGTTATACTCAAATATAAGTATTTTTTTTATTGCTAGGTATTGTCTCTTACTAAAAATATGCGACTCCAAAATAATTTGGATATGACAAGTGTTACTGAGCTCAAAGAATTTTCAAAATGGATATTGGATGTGGGAGATGGAAAAATATCAGAGCCAAATGATGGTTATGCAGAAATAAAGATTCCAGATGAGTTTTTGATTAAAGAATTTGATGATCCAATAGATGCAATAGTCCGTAGCACGTATCCGAACTTGCTGGAGCAATACAAAAATGAGGAATTTCTCAAGTCTAGAGCTGTCTTGGCATCAACTATTGAAATTGTCGATAAAATTAACGACTATGTTCTTTCAACGCTCCCAGGTAATATTATAAAAAAGCTACTTTCCTTATTTACTTACAAAATAAATTCTTAAAAAAATTAATAATTAAATTAAGACTATAGACTTTTACAACTACAGGTGAAGAAAGAGAATATTTAAGTTGCGATTCTGTAGACAAGTCGGATGTAGTTGAAGCAGAAGCATTTGAAGCGTTGACACCAGAGTTTCTCAATTCCTTGAGAACATCAGGTCTCCCAAATTACAACATACGACTTAAGGTTGGGACTCCAGTAATGTTGCTAAGAAATATAGACCAATCAGAAGGACTATGCAATGGAACTAGATTGATTGTCACAAGACTGGGTAATCATGTCATTGGAGCAAGAATCATGTCTGAAGGCAATGGTGGAGATGAGATTTACATACTTCGAATGTGTATGTCTCCTTCTCAATCACCATGGCCTTTTAAACTTATCAGAAGACAATTTCCTATAATGGTCTCATATGCGATGACAATCAATAAATCTCAAGGACAGTCACTGGAAAGAGTTGGATTATACTTGCCTAGACCTGTTTTTAGTCATGGACAATTGTATGTGGCATTGTCAAGAGTTCAGAGCAAACATGGATTGAAGATTTTAATACATGATAAGGATGGTAAATCATTAGACACTACTACGAATGTTGTATTCAAAGAGGTTTTCCAAAATCTCTAACACGTATGTTTAATATTTTATTTACTAATTATTTTATTAACTTACACTTTATGATATTGAGATGTTGTACTTACTTTTAAGAAGAAATGCAATTTTTTCAAATTATTTTCTTTTCTAATTGATTAGATCATGATTGCAAATATATTCATCGATTATTTCCCGTGCGTATGCACGGGTACTGTACTAGTTTAAATGTAAAAAGTAAGCACCAAACTTATACTCCCTCTGTTCTCTAATACATGTCTTTCTTTTCATTTTGGGATGTTCTCTAATACATGTCTTTCTTTCCATTTTTAGAAAGTTTTTTCAATAAATATACCTATATAAGCTCATTTTCTTTCCTACTTTTTCACTCTCTTTCCTATTTTTTCCTTTACATACAACTCACTACACCTTTTATCTTATCCCTATTAATTTCTTCTTAAATCTTGTGCCAAAGGCTATACTCTCATCTATTAGATAACAGGGGGAGTACAACATAACTCTAATATAATAGGGAAAAGTACGGATTAAATACTTGTGCTTGTGTGCGTTTTCACTTAGGGGTCTGTGATGATCTTTGTAACAAACGCAGCCTCGTGTTTTGCTACCATTACCACCCGCGGGGTCTATTGGAACTGGCCGTTAGTAAAGTGCGACATGGCATATATTTTTTCCAAATAGGCTCCAGCGTGGCCAATGGAGAGCAAATATTTGAATTATTAAAAAACCAAAAGCTTAAGTCAAATTAGGGCTTAACAAAATACGATTTAGGCGCGATAGGAAGTTCTTCTTGACATCGGTTCTTCACCTGCGTTTGGAAAGAAGAATAAATGTGGGTCGTAGCAGACAAAGGACAAGAACGCACGGACTGGGGTATGGAAGTTTAGTTACTTTCGTGTTAACGTCCTGAGGTCAAAGTAAGTACTCCAACTATTCTTTATTTTGAAGTTTGGCTTAGATTTTTAGGTTAAACCGTCAATGGTGTTTTGAAACCTGGTTGGTTGGTGTATTAATGTGTAAATGGGTTCGTTTTGAAACCCGGTTGGTAGTTTTGCAGAGTAGCACTTTAAGTTGTCATGTTTTTATGGTTTGGGATGTTTAGGTTGTCCGCATTCAATGTATTTGCAGGTTGGGAATGAGTGATTACATCAATTTGAAAATTCACCCTGGTGGAAAGTGGGACTGTCCAAGACAAAAGAAAAAGTATGTGGGGAGGCAGGTTTTGTTTAAAGAAAAAGTTGACATTGACTATGTGAGCAAGTTTGAATTAGATGGGTATGCAAAAGATTTGGGTTATACAAATGGGATCCAAATGTGGTTTAGAAGATTCTCAATAAGGGAGTTGTGTGGGCCAGTAAATTTGCAAGAGATGGTATGTGATAAAGATGTCCAAGACATGCTAGTGTGTAACATCATGGACCCACATGTTGACTTGTACTTTGTTGCAAACACTAGTAAGAAACGGGTGGTGGAAACTTTACCACAAGATACAACCCAATCTTCACAGGAAGCCCAAAGTTCTGTCCCAACTACAACACCAAGTAAAGACCAACCTGCAGTATCACAACCTCTAGATGCACATCAATTCGTGGGTGTATCAACTACATTTGTGGAAACAGAATTAGAGAGTGATGAGGAAGATGAGGACTATGTGATTCAAAGTGGTTTTGAAAGTGCTTCAGGGGAGCATTCCAATTCCAATCTCATTGAAGCTAGCTGGATATCCCAACAAGAACTAGAAGGGAGTGAAGATGATGTCTTTAATCATGAAAGTGCAACATTAAACCAACAACCACAAGGAGATCCTGAACCACCTTCACAACCCAACACTTTTGGGCTTGAGGATCTGAATGAAAAGCAGTTTGAGGAGTTTAATGAGAGGCCCTGCTATAGTGATGACCTGCACAACATTGTAGGATCTGATGAAGGTGATGCCAAATATGAAGAGTTCAATGAAGAAACAGGTGCTACACATTCATAATTGTCCTAAGGTTTGAAATTTAGTACACATACCTCCTTTAGAAATGCTCTTAAGGATTGGGCTGTCAAGGGTGGATTTGAATTTAAATTTGTGAAGAACAATAGATCTAAAATCACTATGGTATGCAAAAATAAGGACATATGTTCTTTCAGAGTTCATGCTTCTAAACTTCCTGAGTGTGGGTCCTTTCAGATTAAGACATTTAGGCCAAAACATGAATGCCCTTTCAGTAATAGAAACAGCTTGGTCAATGGTACATATTTAGCTAAAAAGTACATGGATGAATTGAGGGAAAATCCTGAATGGGATGTCAGTGCTATGCAAAAGTCAGTGCAAAGACAATTAAGGGCTGAGGTAAGGCAAAGTGTTATAGAGCTAGAAGAAAGGTAAAAGCAAATATTCAAGGGGTCATAAAAGAACAATATAGGAGGTTGAGAGATTATGCAGAGACTGTAGTTAAATTCAATCCTGGGAGTGTAGTCAAAATAAAAACTGAAGCCAGGGATGAGATTGTAGAAGGTGCTAATGCAGAGGGTGGTCCAAGAATGCCCAAGGAAATTCTGATGCTTCAGTACATGTACATGAGATTTAGTGCACAGAAGCAGGGGTATTTTGCAGGTCTTAGACCCTTAATTCGGTTAGATGGCTGCCATTTGAAAACACCTATGGGAGGGCAACTACTATGTGCTGTAGCAAAGGATGGAAATGAAAACATGTTTCCTCTTGCTATAGCCTAGGTTATCTACTCGGTGAGTACTCGGCGAGTACTCGGTGAGGACTCGCAACTCGGGTCCTTACCTTGCCGATTAGCAACTTAACTCGGTCCGAGTTAATTTTCCGAGTTACTCGGCGAGTTTTGCTACTCGGTCAACATCGGAAATCGGCGAGTACTCGGCATTACTCGTTTTTTTTAAATTGAAGCACATTCAAATAGGTAGCACATTCATGGAGTCCAGGGAGGACAAGACCAAGACCATTCAAATACAGGAGTGGGGCACGGATGGATATATATGATATATATATAGTTCACAGTAGGGACACTTCCGCCCGCAAGCCCCATAAAAAAGGGTCAGGATGGGGAGACACTTATTTATTAAGGACCTATATGCTCGGCCTTCACTCCAATGAAGGGACTACGAAGGCCTATGGACTTATAATCGGCCAGCATGCTGTAAGGGCACGGTTATCCTTTCGCATTGAGACCTGGACGATTATCCCTACCTTCGATAGCACGGTTAGAAATCCTAAATTAAAACCTAAATTTAACGGAGTTCCAAGTCTCTAACAGCAACATCGGCTCTCTTGGAGTTGCGCGACATCCGCTATCCCTTTAAGTTGAGACTGCGACGTCGGCTGGTAACTCTTGTTTCTCTCGTATCTTCACCTCTTCACCTCTGGGTTCTTCTTCTTCCCCCCTCCCTTAGTCGTCTATGTTCTTGCCTTCTTGGTTAGTTTTGGTTCTTGTATTCAGTAAGCTTTCATTCTTGGATAGTAGTCTAGTAGACATCCTGCTTTATAGTATTCAATGATGACTTCTTGGACTACAGTGATAAATACTTCTGAATAATATAAGTAGTCTAGTAGACATCTTGCTTTATGTTAGACTAATGCCCTCGTACTCCCTATAAATTCAATTTCAACAATAGACATTAAATTTTGATCACTTATAAAATTTAAATTTTGAAAACATAGAATATTTATGACTTTTGCTACTCCATCATTAGGATAATAGGATTTGTATCTTTTTATTCATTTCTATGCTTTTTAAAACAATTTTAAGACTATTTTAAGACTATTATATTTCTAAATATCTAGCAAATATATTATCAAATTTAATTAATACACGACCGAGTAATCCCGAGTAATCGGTCCTACTCACTACTCGGCCCTTGACCGAGTTACTACCGAGTAGTGAGTAAACTACCTAGGCTATAGCATATGTGGATAGTGAAGATAAAGCTTCACGGACTTGGTTCTTGCAAGTATTGTTTGAAGACTTTGGCAGACCAGAGGAAACTAAATGGGTTTTCATGTCTGACAAACAAAAGGTAATAAAAAAGTACTCATTTCTTCTGTAAAACATGTGAATAACTTCTTTCTGTATACTGTGTTTAATTGCTAGCTTCTTTCAGGGTTTAGTTGAGGCATTCAAGGTCGTGTCACTTGCAAATGAACACAGATACTGTGTCAAACACATGTATGAGAACTACAAGAAAATCTTTAGAGGGGCTGAGTACAAAAAGAAGCTCTGGTTTGCAGCTAGCACTGGAAGTCTGAGGTCATGGGAGAGGCAGATGGAAGGAATAAAGAAGTTTGATGAGGGTGCTTACAACTGGATTATGCAGTATGACCCAAGTACTTGGAGCAGATCTCATTTTT